AGAATCCAGGTGCGAACGCACGAAGGAGCAGAACAGTAATCTGAGAGACGGAATACCCTGGAAGTCCACTGTCCAACGCTTAATAGAGTAACACTCCCTTATTACGGAGCCCTGTAATAACGGTGACCCTTTATGTTATACGTGTTGTATGAGGTTTCTGCTTCAGTTGAAGTTCATTAGTTGGTATTTATTAATATTTAGTTCCATTCCATTCAAATCGCACCATAACGATAAGTGATCTAAATCATCAGCATTTTGGACTCTCAGATAGAATTATTTTCGCTGGATTGGAAGTTCTGGACGCGCACAATCTGCACTCTTTCAGTAAGGTACGATGTTAATTCTTACAAAAGTTTTCCCTGGATTCCAATGTTTGGTAATTTATTTATTAAGATTTAAAAAAGTGTGTGTAAATGGCATGAACGTGAGACCTCTCCTCCAATGATTCCAGCAGAAAATCTGTAAATGCAAGCAAATTGTTGGTCGATAAAGCAACCTTTCAGGCCAATAGTCGCAGACTAAACTTTCGAACACTTTAGGAATACAGCTCCAGATACTGATGGGCCTTGATTTTCAGTAAGTTGGAAAAGTTCCCCGTTTTGATTGGTTAAAGATAATATAAAGCGGTCTAGAAAGTATGGACCTGCAATGCTTAATAAGATGAGACACCATCGGGACCGGATCCTTTGTTTTTATCTCGACAGTTTCTCGTAATTAGATGAAATCGAAATGTCCAAGTGTGAGAGGCCGACTTCTCCCGAAGGCAGTACATCTTCAGAGACACGGTCCCTGTCACAATAAATGTTCGAAAAATTGTCTGCAAATAAATTGAAAACATCCTCACCCACAGCACAGGTCACGTCGCCAAAGTGCACAACCGACGGAATAAAGTTTCTTTCCTTTTTACTGTCAACGAACGTCCAAAAATTCTTAACGTTTTTTCTTAAGGACAATTCAGTCAGAGGTTCCTGGTAACACGGCACTTTTAAAAATTTACATTTAGCTCTTTAGTCTGATTATGTGATTTCTTCTTCTCAATTATTGTTTCTTTAAGCTCTGGAGAAAACTGGAAACTTCTTAGCCGAAAACTTGTTTAATGGAACGTAAATATCGATAGCTAAATAAACCATATCGCAGAACACGTTGACCATATCCTCAAGGCTTTTGTTAGTAAATAACTTGTCCCATTAGAACAGCGACAAAAACTCAGTTACTGCACCCAAGTCAATTGACTTAAAAACTCTATAAAGGCCGTCACCACTTAGGCCAGAACTGTTGAAAGGTACCGAATCGCATTACAAGGAAAAGGAGAGTGGTGGGTGATAAAAGTCTTTTGGCAGCAGGGCACCATCCGCCTCAACCTTTAAAATACCGCCATCCTGTCGAGAAGGTTGTCTTTAATGTTCCTGACTGTGTTTATCTGGAACAGGTTGTGGTAGGAGCATAGATAAGGTAATAGATTAGTGGATACGATCTCGCTCTGCGTGCTTCCCGCCAGAGAGATTGCAACTGAGGATAATTCTTCCTTGGTCCACTTGTTGGGCAAGGTGAAATCGCCTAGGACGCACAACTTATGACTGGGGTATTCTTGACCAGTCTTTCCAGGTTCTCACCAAATTCTGCATATTTCTCAAAGGAACACTTCGGTGGTAAGTACGCTGTAGCCAGTATAAATTTGTTGCTATTCAGATTGATTTCAATAAATAAATGTTCAATGCTTTTCGAAGCTGGTAAAAGTTTACTTGAATTAGACCGCTATTAGAACTCCACCTCCTTCTCAAAGGTACTAGTTTCTGCAGATCTATCCTTACGGTATATATTGTAGTTAAACATCTGTAGTTCTGCACTGTCTATATCATTAATTAGCCATGTTTCATTGAAGACTAAAATGTCATATTGGGAGTAAGACACATTCTCAAAAAGAAGCTGAAGCTTGGTGCGCAGTCCTCTAACATTTTGGAAGTAAATAAGTAAGGACGACGGGTCCGCCAATCTGGGATGGCCTATCCGTCTACACATTTTAGAAAGAGATTAGGTTCTGCATTTCGCTGTCTTTCCTTCCACTCGGTATTTAATAATTATACGTACTGAAGGTTTTGTTTGAAAAATGAGCAAATAACTACTTATGAAATCAAGCTTTGAAACATTGTTTATAATGTAAGCAAGAAATGTTTACATGTTTACAATATAAAATATATTAACCAAACTAAAATATGTGCCGACTTTGTGACGTGACTAAAAGTTTATTGGTATAAGCTATACCAAGAAATTGCCTATCTCGTTTGCAGTTTTGGTTAGTTGGTTAAAGCTAAATGGTTGACACCCAATCATGCTGGTCCAACAAAGACTACATTCGCATGCATGTAGGTCATTCATGTATGATATTCCTGTATTCCTACACTTATACACGCCGGTCTGTGGTCACCTTTATGGAAATATAAAAGAATCTCGCAGCACTCAGACACCCTGTATGAGAAAACATGTCGCGTGCGCACTTTTCAATCGTTAAACAAAACGACACCATATTGTTTGGCCGATATCCAAATTAAAAAAACTTTAACGAAACATCCTTATTTTAAGTCAAGGGCAACTTAATTACGTGCGGTTAAAGTGTAGCAGTAATTATTACGACTTTACGAAAATAAACGTGACGAAGCCAAAGTGTCTGCAAATTCGAAAATATTTGAATGAACAAATTTATAATAAGAAATGCAAACATTAAAATAGAATCGTTAACAACGACATTATCCAGGTGATACGATATATTCTATACATTCGTCCGCTTTAAATCACTTTGACAATTTTTTCATATACGTAGGTTCGGCGAGAGTATTTTTAATGATATACCAGTTCGACGCAGATTTGAAATTTGAGTGGCTTAATATAGGCAGGTTAAATGTGTAATTTTTCAACAGTATGAAGTCACTTCCAGTAGACCCAGGAGAGGTTAATATTTTCCAATCTTTTTTGTTTTCTAATTTTTTTTTATGTAATTTTGGAAATTTTATCTAATGTAATGAAATATTTTTTTTGCAATATTGTAAACCCAAAATTTAAAAAACATCAAATTTTGGCGAATTTAATACGTTATTTTAACAGAATCTTTGCGGCACAGATTTCATGTTTTAGTCACGTTCATAGATCATCATTGAAATTTTAGAATAGCAGAAATGTTGATTACAAATGTATTGGCTAAATTGGGTTAAACCACAAACAAAAAAAAATATTTTTGGTTATATTATAAAGTTTGCGAAATAATCATAAAAGGGCGTTCGGCTTCATTCTTCATTTTAGAAGTAGGGCAGCTATATAGCTATATTTGATTATTGAAAATTAAGGTGCGAACGAAAAGTTTTTTTTACTAGTAGCTGAAGCAGATTTTTCAAAAAAAAATGCTATTTTTGTAATTGTTAATAAACATTTGCTTAACATATTCGGAAACGACGGGGAAAACAATATTACCTAGTGGTAAAAGGGCCTCGAAAACGGTCCCCTCTGGAGTAAAAATTTGTTCCGTTCGGGAAGTATTTAAAAACAAAAAAAAAAAATGCGTGTGCAAGGGTCTAGGAAAAAGATCATTTTTCAAAAACAGTTTACAGAAATGAGAAAATTCTTGAATAAAAAGAGGCACAAGATTCGACTCCATAAACTATTATTCTTGACAATTTTTCGAAAATGTACGGGGTGCGCCGAAAATTCAAAAAAAACGAAAATTCGCTCCCCCTATTATTGAAAATTGGCTATAATGTAAATACTGTGCTTAATATGTCAATTTCTTTTACATAGCGATGTGGATCGTATAGAGAGATAAAAAAGTATTTAAAAAAAATTAAAATTATTTTTTGGTTATGTCGGCTTGCAGAAAAACATATTTTTCTCCAAAACCATTCATGCGATCGGAAAAATTTTGGAACCGCGATACATGGGAGATTCGGCACTATAAGTTTCGTTTCACGCATTTTTTAGATTATACACAAGATGTTTTAGTTATGGACCAAAATCTGAAAGACCCTGAAAGTTGTGCTTGTTGGGAGTAAATTAGTAACCTTAAAACAAAATTCTTATAAAATATGGGTATTCCCTTCGAACACGAATATTTACGGTTTTCGTCTATCACATACGCTGCTCGAGATATTTGAAAAAATCCATATCCAAAGCGCTATTCCTTGCGCTCAGTCCCGTCGCGATGACGTCAGTGTACTGCATAGTCTCAGAAAAAAATAATTTTCTCAAAAACCAGGAAACGTAGAAGGTAGAAATCCCTATTTTCCGCATTTTTTCAATTATGTACAGGGTGTATCGATAGTGGACAAAAAATAAAAAAGACCCTGAAAATTTCCGTTTTCGTTTGTAAAAACTGTAAAGCGTGGTATAATTTGGTTTAAACAGTGTCGTAAACTGTATCGAGAGAGTTTCAGGTTTCGTCTATCATACAGGATGCGCGAGAGAATTTTTTATATTTAAGTTTGTCGTGACTTTGAAATTCGAGGATACGTGAAAGATGCATATACAGGGTGTATGCACAATATAATACATCAATTTTGCGAAAGTTCATTAGTGGTCCGCAGGAGCACGATAAAAAAATAAAGCGTCCCTCTACGACAAGATACCGCGAAGCGGCTCTTCTTTAAAATAAAAAGCTGCTTCGCGCTACGCTCTACGAACGCCCTGAGCCCAGAGATTTTTCGAAAGGAATCTTGTTCAATATGATCTGCTATTGCTTATTACCAATTAAAAAGCTATTTCACACAGTTTTTTTGTTCTAACTTTTATGTTCATTACACATTTTTCTCGAAAAACCTATAGCCTCAGCTGTTTTTCAAGCCTTAATTACTAATAAACAAATAGTTTCCCAACTTTCAAAATGAAACATTGGCTATCAATTCATTCCGACCACTGTTCTCAAACGGTGACAGTTTCCACGAAAACGACGTCCATTAGACTCTAATACGACTAGCCAATCTGGACGATGGGGGTAAGTCGACAGGATTACTACTTACTAAGGTACTGTTCCCATTCGACCAGATTTCGAAATTTCATCACTTGGCCTCTTCTTTCCAGCGTCGTCGGCGGCGATGGATCAAACGTAACGGTCTTGGGTGACGGCGTGCGCATGCGCATCTTGGCACTCATTTTCGCGATAATATCACCTCAACCCGGTATTTATAAATATTCGCGGTTTATGTTCGACAGGAAGCGGTTAACCCTAACGATCGTACGCGGATGAATCGAATAGTTTTCTTATCGCCGGATCGATTAAGGAGTAATATTTTATGTATACATGGAAGATCCCGATCTATGACTAACCCCGGGCCGCGTTTCGTTTTTTGGCAGATCTGCTTGTCCGGATCGGCCACTAAAAATAGCCACTTGCGGAAAATCCTCTCGCAAACAAACCAACGGTCTCATATCTCCACCTCAATCGTTGCGTAACTTACAGATTTTCTGGGTCGTCAATCATTAAATTAGGTCTTCGCATTTTACAACTTGACGCGTATTGGTTAGGTTAGCGGTTAGTTGTCGGTCGGCTCTACGTGTATATGTAGCGTTTAATGCGGATTTACAAAACGAGATTTGGGTCGAACACGCTGTAACACCCAGTAAATGTTCAGCTATGTTTATAACCCAAGAAAGTAATAATTGAGAGTGGTCTGATTCTGTACTAAAAAGAGTGAGAGCAACCGTCGTATAAATCTATAAACCCCAGAAGAAATAAAAAAAATGAATTATGGTCTATTTCATAAAGGTGTACAGTAATAAAATCTCTATGGGTACGCAAAGGGACTACGACGCACAGGGGTCATTTATGACAATTTAGGCGGTAATAAAGGCCAAATATCGATATCTAAGGTGAACTAAACTTGTGTAAATAGCTTATTTTTTTAAAGTTATATTATATTATATGATCTATATGTTTTAAATTTTTATTTTTCAGGTCAGGTACACAGGGTGTTCCGTTCATCTGAGGTAAATACCAGCATTTATGAATTCCCCGGGAAATTCTAAATATATTTTCTTGAAATTTATATCAAAAATTACATTTGCAAGCCCTAAAATAATTGCCAATTAATAAATAAATTACTTTTGGACGAATTCCTTATGGAACGAGGCATATTATCATATCGCTCATTGTGTACAATAGTGACACGTGCACAAAATAATAGTTCCGAGAAAATCAGTGATTTAGGAAAATAAAAACTGAAATATTGAGATAACTCATACCAACTCTTCCACTTATTAAAAAATTTATGGTGATATGTCTTTATAATTTTATACAGCTTTGTATTATTCTCTTTTTCAAACAAAAAATATTTTTCTGGTTCTTTTTTGAATGTTTTTAAATTTTGCCCCGTTATTGATTTTTTTTGCAAAAATCAATTTCACTAATACAGTTCATAAAAAAAATCTCAATAAAACAATAGATCAAAGTTTTAACATCATTTTATTATAAAAATACGTATAAAAATATAATGCGGGAGGTTAGCAATAGCAACTTCAAAAAAACCAAACTGGAAATTAATAAAACACTAAAAAATGTGCTTTTATAAACTTTGTCACGTAAACAATAACTGCAAAAACATCGAAAAGCTATACTAAAAAAAACAACTGACCCATAGTTTTTGATACATGTCGAAGTAGGTATTATTTCCAAAAAAAAAAGAAACAAATATCAGATTAGATTTTAACACGTAAACAATAAAAAACAACGGACCTATATTTTTTGGTAGAGAGCTACTGTTGTTAAAATTATAAGAAACAAGAATTATCATGGCTGGTAAACAAAAGCTAAGCTATTCTACGGTTAAAAACAACAACCAGCTAACCTGGTGTTTGGAAAATAAATAAAAAATACTATTTTCAAAGCATCTAAAAAACAGTGAAATTTCAGTCTTTTTACTTTAACTGTTTAGCAAATCCATTAAGTCATTAAAATTTAAAAGAAGTGAGTTACTAGTTTTTTAAAATAAAAAAATCATTTCTCCGACTTTATAAGGCGCTGCCGTCTTCTTCGCGCGTTCTACCAAACTTGTACTCTGCGCCGATCACAAACACACTGGGTTATGTGCCGGTTTTGCGCGTAATATCATTAAAAAAGGCGGGAAATTCAATAGCGGTACAAAGTCTCTCTCATGGATCTGAAGTAAGATAACTATATGCCGGTATTGTTCGTTGTTAGAATACAAATGTGCGAGTTTTATGATACAATTATCAAAAAATAGCTATTTTTTGATATGTGCAATGATATTTTGAACGCGAATTAAGGTGAAAAAATATGAAGTACAAAAAGTAATTAAAAAAAAAGAAGTAAAAGGTCAACTTGTTCAAATGGAAACTCACTATTTTTATAATTTTATGCCATTTGGCATAAAAAATTAAGGTGAAATTGTATAAGGTTGTCGAAAAGTAGGCAATCGAAATAACCACAAAAAATATCACAACATAGGACTAATTTTCAACTTAAACTTAAACGGTCAAAGTTATCTTGACTTACTTAGAAACGAAATTACTGTCTTACTAGATGCTGCGGGAAATATCAAATGTATGGATTGTGCGTTTAACTAAATAGAAGCAAAATTCCCAGAGTTGATACGGTGTTGTGGCTTAACCCTTGTAGACTATTTTCTATGGGGACCTTCAAATACAAAGTTTATAAAAATAGAAACCGCCAAACTGAAGTTTTAAAAAAATAATTAAGAAGAAAATCCCATTTTTCAATCGAAGTGGCGCTGTAGGGAACGCAGTTAGAAAATTTGACCTAATATAACCAGCTTGTATCGTTCAAGATGAGAACCATACGGAAAACTAATTTTAAGATTTCGAATTTTATTTATTTATTTTTAATTTGTAATGTAAATGTAATGGTTGTACATATTATGTAATAATTTATAATCCTATTTATGCCAGAACCTTATTTTTAATTCCAAATCGGATAAAAATATAAAATTTTGGGGGTTTACATTTGGAAAATTTGACTTTTTACGTATTAATAATTAAATTTTTGTACTTTTTTGATCGTATTGAATTATTATATATTGCTCTATAAAAGAGTAATAATAAAGAATAATATAAAAATAGACAAATTGCTTGTTTTGTTAAAGTTTTCTTTTCCGAAAAGACGAAGGATTTTTTTCGGATTTTATTGAAAAGATCTAATATATGCTGGAAGTAGTATTCAAAAACATTTAACATTAGCATTAGCATTCATGATAGTTTCCAGTCCGTTTTGATTGAAATGCTAGTAAACCACCACGTTTTTATAATTTTACTTTTGTACCTAATTTTTGCTCACCCTGTATTAAATTAAGTCCCCTTCCAAAAGGAATCCATATAAAAGTAAACAATTAAGACTCCCTCGTACTAAAAACAGTTAATTATCATAGGGCCTGCAAAAGTATTTTTCGCTTAAAATTCTAATTTGTGAAAAAAAGTCAGATGTAGATATAGCACATTGTAAATGAAATATATCTAGAATTTCTTCTTCTTCTACGCATGCATTTTCTTATTTATTTTTTTTATCGTTCGTAGTTTCTGAATTAAGAGGGTAGGAGGCCTTATGTCAGGTAATGCTTATTTAAACAAAACATTGTTTTTATGTTAAAGCGTTTACTTTACAAACAAACAAAACAAAACACTATATCCGATAAATTGTGCGATTAGAATCGGAGAAGTGAGACAAATATTTTTTGATATGTTGATATGGGACAAAAATGGCTTATAATAAATATAACAAATAACTGTTTACTTAATTTTAGTGGATTACAATGAAAAGGTTAATAGCAAAGCTCTACCTACTACCAGCAACTGTAACGTCAATATTTTTCAGTAAAATACTGCCATATCACATATTCAGTGAGAAACTTACTTCGACAAGACTTATCCTATCCATGGGATATCATAGGATAAAAGGTGGAGTCGGTTGGGACATCGTATACCAGACAAAATTACACGTAATGAGGTAGGAACCTACCACAGGCCGATATCGATCATCTGATTCATAGCATACCACGAAGAGAAATATATATTTACATTTACTGGGTGTTGCAATTTCTATGTCGCATAGTATATATACCAGCGCATCCTAATTGAAAATAATAGCGGAGATTTGTAAATTTCTCTATCTAATAACACTATTATTGATGTAATTCCAAATGAGTAACATGTAGAATAACTCTCATGGGTATTTACAAACAACAAATGCCTACGCACCCACTTACAAATTACTTGAAAAAATAGCAGATTAAGAGGAGATAAGTTACCGAATATAAGTAATCGGACACGGATACGTTACCGGTAAAAGATGTGCCCACTTTTGCGACACGCACAGATGACACAACAAATTAAACTATATTATTAATTTGGAAGGTATATCATCTATCGAGGTTTCCACCTACAAACACGTCCCACACGTCCGTTCAAATTGTCCATGTAAAAAGCGGCTAAAGAAAAATGCGACTTTTCAACTTGTCGTCGACAGACTCCTGTTTATTTTTATAAATATACCGGTTGTTGCACAGCGGCCTATTAGAAGTATTCCGGAAACGAATTTACTTTAAATTATACAAGGATATGTAAGAGGATGTGCCCTATCGCTCTAAATTATTCTCAAATATACAATGTTGCCGCTTCTACATAAACGTGGCCATACCTTGCTGAGTTTAAATGCCACCCCCTGTATATAATTTTATTTTTACATTCCGACAGGTTTCTCTATTCCCCCGCATTACGGTTATTGAAATAAAAAATAATTTCCTAAATTTTTAAACAATTTGGACTATTAAAAGCAGCACTTCTAGTTCTAAAAACACGATTTATTGAGTTTTTTTTTTAAATACACACCCTGCATTTTCTTCCATTTTCGAATTTGGGGTAAGAAACTAACCCACATTTGTTCAAGTTTCCCTATACCTATCTCGTACCGTCTCTGAAATAAAAGAATATTTTCATGATTTTTGCGTAATATCATCATTGAACACCGCAATCTCGAATGTTTCGCGCGTAGCCAAAATGAACTTCGTAAAACATTATTTTCATTAAACTTTAGTTACTTTAAAACCATATTGCCCTTTTTTGAAAGTCAATAATCAATCATTCAAGACTGAAGATTCCTTCCTGTCAAATTCAAACAAAAAGTCATACCTAGAAATTATAGAAAATTTGAACAATAACGGGTCGAATATACAAGGTGTGCTATTTAAAAAATCTCAATAAATTGATTCATTCTAAATTGTATAAAAATATAAAAATAAAGGGTTTCCATTTTTAAAAAAATAACTTTTTACGTTTTTTATAATTTAATTTTGTACTT